CACTATATACTGCTGGCCAAAGACTCCCACAAAGAAGAATCACAGGTGTCTGAACTCCGTCAGAGATGCCTGGTAAGCACAGTTGATACACGGAATACTGTAGCCCCAAGCCCAGCCTAGGAGTGGGAAAATTGTGGAATTCCACCCCAAGATAGGTAAAGGCAGAAGGCCTGACGCCTGAGGTGTGTTCATAGCATCCAGAAAAAGGGCAAAAGTGCAGCCCTGTAATCATGACAACTCTTTCCTAAGATGTCCTTAAGATGCTTCATGAAAGTCTGAAAAGTGACACAATCTATTTGCCTTCCTGAAGGACTATATTCTGTTCAAATAAATGATTAATAAATTAGTAGTGTCAACAAAATAACGTAGCCTATTTAGTTCAGATTTGTGTTGCTGGGACAAAGAGGGTTTACTGTTGTTCTTTAATCTCTGAGGTAACATAAAATTTATCTCAGATCTGTAGCAAGCAAGAGAACAGGCAATGTTGTATAACACCTCAACCTCTAGAAATCTTAATGATCTAATTGAAATGTAGTTGGAGAAGCAGGGCCTGCAACAGCTCATACCTCAACTGTTGAAACATTGTTGACATCATGTACCAATCGCTTGTACCCAAGCTACTCTTTCAAAGGTACTCTTAGGCTACCTTTAAATTTTATTTTTGCTCATCCAGCAACTCTGCCCTAGAAAAAGTGGCCATAATTCTCAAATTTTGTTTTAGGACAAGCACATCCTTTGGTGTTTCTAGGACTGTAGCATCATTCCATAGTCTTAACCATATGCTTGGGTCTCTAGGATTTCCTGGTTGTCCTGTCAGAGATCCCTAGATACCATCTTCTGATGTGATATGTGACATGGAGTCAGCAGGATCCCCAGAGCTCCAAGCATAAAATGCACAGATTCAAGGTGCGTAGTTTAAAAAAATAGTTCTAACTTATTAACACACACAAAAATAGATAAAGAGACAACAATTGGTTCCCTAACTGGGCCTAGATCCCTTCAGTGTCTGCAGCCTACCTAATTAAGCTTCTTCTGCTAGGATTTCTCTTTATACGCAGGGAAGATTCTCATCGTGCCTCACTCCGAAAAGGCACTGTCATTTCTCTGAAGGCACCATTATTCCCTTATGCAGAACTCCTGAAGAACAGAAGTATGTTGGTTAATATTTTTGATAGACAGAGAAAAAGAAACAGAGGACAAAGGTAACTGCTATACTCAACTCTAGTTACACTAGGAGTGAAAACACCAGAAGAGGGGAGAAAGCTGAACTGGGCTATATCCTTGAAATAATTCCTTCCATTAACCAGATTTTTAAAAAAAACCCTTCTAAGTCACTCTGTCACTAGAGTGACCACCAGTCCTGAACTGGGCGGGACAGTCCCAAAATGCAGAGTTCAAGTCCCAGTGCCAGGCTGAATGATGCCAGGACAGCATTTGTCCCAGATTCCTTGTAGCGCTGCTCTGCGCCTACCAAAGGCTCAGGGTCGGTGGAGGGAGGGGAGGCTGAGGTGAGCCTTAGCCCCCCTGGCCACAAGGCCCTGGCCCTGCTCCTCCTCTTCCCCCCGAGGCCCTGCCCCTGGCCAGACCAGAAGCTGGAGGTGGCCCGGGCCGTGATAAAAGCTGCCTAGGGAGCCCGGGCCACTGTGGGGAGCTCCGGACCTTCCACCTGCCCTGGGCGATGGGCCAGGTGCCTGAGGGTAGCCCCCAGCCCATGTCCCCATCCCCTGGGGTGTGCTGCCCAGGGAAGGTGGAGGGTTCGGGGCTTCCCACAGCGGCCTGGGCTCCCTAGGCAGCTTTTACCACAGCCCAGCTCCAGCTTCTGGCCTGGCCAGGGGGTAAGGCCTCAGGGGGAAGAGGAGGAGCAGGGGGCAGGGCCTCGGAGGGAGAGGGTCAGAGCTCCTGCATGTATCCCACTTTGCCTTTTGAAAAAGGGGTCACCCTATCTGTCACACTCACCAAAATGTATAGCTTTGAGGTTGCAGTCACTAAAAAGACTAATTTTCATGTCTCAGATATGTAGATAAGAACATAAGAATGGCCCTACAGGGTCAGACCAAAGGTCCATCTAGCCCAGTATCCTGTCTTCTGACAGTGGCCAGTGCCAGGTGCCCCAGAGGGAATGAACAGAACAGAACAGGTAATCATCAAGTGATCCATCCCCTGTCGCTCATTCCCAGATCTTTTAGAAAAGATTACTCTTCAGATACTATTAGTATGATCAGCAGTTTTAAAACTCCAATCCATTTACAGTGCCTCAAAATTTTCTGGACCAGTGGATTGTAAGTTTTTCTTCTGGGCTCAATCTGAATATGAAAAGTTGAAATGACTGCTAAATACACCCTAATGATTTGAAGTTGTAAACCAGAATGAAATAAGTCATTGTTAGATTTGGTAAGTTTGATGATAAATGGTACATTTGGGGGTCTTGATCTTGCCTATTTGTAATGCTGAAATCCAAGAATATGTTCCATTTACTGCAATAAATTGCATTTGTTGTCTTAGATCTGTCTCACAAAATGATTTTAAGAACTTTAGTTGAAAATTTATAAGGCTTAAAATGTTGTCTGTCTTGCTGAGGGACTGAATATGTTCTCAAAACTTTGTTAACTGTTAGGATGTGACTGTGATGGGGGCTCTGAGGGCCAGGCAGTGGTTAGCGCACCTGACTTCCAGCCTTTTGCCTCTGTCAGGGCAGTAGAGAAACCAGTTCCTGATCTTAGGGTGGGAATCTTCAGCTTTCCACCCACACCTGGGCCTCCTTGGCCCTTAAGGTTACATATCTAGGAGTTTGGATTGCCTTCTTCTTATCTTCAGGTCTTGTTCTCAGAAGACAAACACAACTCCATCTCCTATTGTGTACCCTATTCTTGATCAAGACCGTAACTCTGTAACTGACTGTTTAAAAACACATGAAGATATATTTTATCGAGTTCGCAGGGACACATCAATTGTTCATTTCTTTTGCCAAACATCAACTTTCATTCGTGGTTTTACCAAGTGGCTAGAGTAAATTAGTAAACGGATAAGGACTGACCCAATTAATTTAGGAGGACATATTCTGTAAGAGAGGTTATGGCTAGTGAGGTGATGGTAATAGGTGTTAGGACAGATTGTATCCTCAAAGATGCTTCAGGTCCAGAGGACTCTTTAACCATAGTTATAGCACAAGCCTAATGTGGAGTCTAATTCTTCTTAAGACATTATTGCAGGCTTTGAAGCATTGTCCAAGACTTTAATATTTTAAAATAGGTTTTGTTTTATAAAGAGTTTATGCTTAAAGTAAAAATATTGAGCTTCTGTTCCTTCAAATTTCTTAAGTTTTCAGAAAGAATAGCCTTGCTGGTTGATTCCTGACCAAGTGGCTGAATTAGGAAATCTCTTCTGGTTTTAACATAATAATAATACTTTGCATTATATAGCAATTTTCATTTTAGGATCTCAAAATGCTTTACAAATGTTATTTTATGTATTTGAATTGAAAGGCAGCAAAAAACAATGCCTACCAAAATCTTGACATTCAGAAATAAATACAAAAATACAAATACAGAGCCAAAACAGCAGCACAGCTTCTGTATTACAAGCCAGAACAAGATGAGAGCCATTTCAGATTACTGGGTGGGAGGGCATGAGAAATTTTCTACATAAGAATGGCCATACTGGGTCAGACCAAAGGTCCATCTAGCCCAGTATCCTGTCTTCCAACAGTGGCCAATGCCAGGTGCCCCGGAGGGAATGAACAGAACAGGTAATCATCAAGTTATCCATTCCATGGATTCGCCCATTCCCAGCTTCTGGCAAACAGAGGCTAGGGACACCATCCCTGCCCATCCCGGCTAATAGCCATTGATGGACCTATCCTCCATGAATTTCTCCTCAAGGAGCCAGACTTATAGGTTTATAGTTTGTGTGGTCAGATTCTTCTTTTCAGGGCTGGGTGCAAAAAAGTGTATATGCGCTGGGGGAGGGGTGGCTTTAAGCCATCTTTAGTGCCCCTTAAGATTTGGCTCCAGGGCTGCTCTAAGATGTATTGGCTCCTAAGGTCCATGAGTGTGCTGTCACACACCTTTACAAACTAGCTGTAGCATAGTGTGCTCTGACCAAGACCTACTCCTGCCCTTTCTTTTCTCCGACACAACCCTTAAGCCAGAGCTGTTATATTGACCCACAGAGAATTCCCACACCCCATGCTGGGGGCCATCGGCACAGCCACAGCCCATGTTTGACATGGGTGCAAAAGTGCAGGGCCGGCTCTAGGCACCAGCGTTCCAAGCAGCGGCGGCTCCAGGCACCAGCGCTCCGCGGGGGGCGCCCTACCGGTCCCTGCAAGGGCGGCAGTCAGGAAGCCTTCGGCGGCTTGTCTGCGGGAGGTCCGCCAGTCCCGCGGATTCGGTGGCAATTCGGCAGCGGGTACGCCGAAGTTGCGGGACCGGCGGACCTCCCGCAGGCATGCCGCCGAAGGGGCGGCAAAAAAGCTAGAGCCGCCCCTGGTTCCAAGCATATGTGTGGGGTGGCACTTTTCAAGGGGCGGCATTCCGGCTTTTTTTTTTGCTTGGGGCGGCAAAAAACCTGGAGCCGGCCCTACAAAAGTGGGACTGCAGGAAGTGAGAAAGGGTACGCACAATGGCATCCTTTCATCTGGCCTAACAGGTGCAGTCTGGTGTTGGACACCTCAGGAAGGTTGGTCCCCTCCAGTGCCTGGTATCACCCACCTCTTAAAGCCCCAGCTCCTGGAATCCTGTGACAATCCCAGCGGCAGGGGACTAGAGAAAAGCTGGGGAACACGATCCTCAAAGGCTTCAAGCCCTGATGGCAAATCAACCCCACCTCCACCTCCACTTATCACTCGTGTGAAATCATAGTTGACCTGATCGCTGACGGTCTGACGGCGGCGGCTGTGCCGGACCGCCCGGGCTCAGCCAAGCCGGGGCCCTTCCCAGCCCCGCCCTCTGGTCAACGCCCCGCCCCAGTCCGCCCTCCCCTCCCCGCGCTGCGCATGCTCGTCCCCCCGCTGCGGCCGCCGGCGCCGGGCCTGGCTGGAGAATGGGGGCCTCGGAGCCGCCGCCAGCCCCGCGGCCGGGCCCGGCGGCTCCTCCTGCTCCGCGCGGGGCCGGGCCCGGCCGCTTCGTGCGGTGCCTCTACCTGGTGGGCTTCCTGGTGAGTGCGGGGCGGGGGGCAGGAGCACCAGTCACCTGCCTGCCTGGCGGGGGGTGGGTGGGTGTGTGTGTGTCCGTCCGTCCTGCCCGGGGGCTGTATGTGTGTAAGTGTAAAAAAGCAAATACTCTCTGGCCTGTAGGTGAACCAAGGCCACGGTGGCGTCTCTGCCGCTTGTCTCCACTGGGACACTCAGAAAACCCTGAGACAGGATCCTCGGCTCCATTGCCAGGCCCTCCTGCAGCCCATGGCAGATCCTCTCCCCTGTTTGTAGGGGTGGGGAATGTATAACAAATGTAACCTTAAATATGTGTAATCCACATATAAAATATATTCTATCCCATATTGTACATGACCCTAGAGCATCCGGGTTCGAGAGCTGCCTTTTTATTGCCTGTCCGGACACCACCCATTTCTCCTGTGTTTGTATCTAACGTCACTGTCATGGTTGAAGCTCCCCTGGCCTTGACAATAATAGCAACTACCTGGCCAAAAAAGCCCTGAGATTCCTGAGGGAGCCCTAAGGGACTGGAAAAATTCCTCCAAATGTCTGAGCTTAGACAATCTGTTCTGTTCAATACTCAAGTATTCACCGCAGTGGTGTGCTGTTTACTCTTAATTCAGTTTGGACAATGGCGTCTCTTTCACTTTCAAGTTGGCTTGCTAATACTGCAGTGCAGGGTTTACTTCCAAACAAAAAAAATTGTTAATTGGAGTTTACTGAAGACAATTTGTCAGACACTTTTATTGAACTAAATCATGTGAAATCTTGCTTTCAGAGCAGCTCTTGTTAAGGGATTGAGTGGTTTGTTCTGTGGACTCAGAAAGGGAGCTGCATTCAGGAACTCTTCAGTTCTAATCCAGGCTCTGTCACTGACTTCCTGTGTGGCCTTGGATGAGTCTCTTAAGTTTTCTGGGTCTGATTCTGCTTTGGCTGTAGAACTTCCAGCCCTGCCCTATTTCCAAATCTCCCCCTACATGCAGCCATGCAAGATGTCCCTGTTGAGCGGAGTATTCTGGATGGGGAGTGCACTCACCAAATCCTGTTCAGCCCCTTGGAAAGTGGTACCACAGTGGTTTCATGCAAAGAGAGCCATCTGCACATGTAGGAGAGACATAAGGATTTGCCCTGTTACTAAATTAAAGCACTATGTTTATACTGTCTATTAACATAGGCAAACTAACCATTCATGTTTGGGACCTTGAGTGCTTTCAGTTCAATTAGCCAGTGTGATAGTTTAATTCAGAAATAAGCATTTAAGATTGATAAAACAGGGCGGAAATGTTTTTGTATGTGTATGTATTACTGCAAGTTACTTTGTTTACACTAGCCGAAGAGAACTGACATTTTTCTTTCATATCTTTTATATTGTTTTCCCATCATTTCCGCCCTTGATAAATCTGTCTCATTTTTGCTTCTTTTCCTTTGTTTGTGCTTCCTCTTTGGCTCTGTCTTTCTCCTTACAAGTCTGAAAAAGCAGTAGGCACTAGTGCTCCATAGAGCTTGTCTGTTTTGCTTTAAATAGATAATGCTTACATTTATATTTGCAATGTTTCATAAACTTTCTTATACTCATTATAGGTAATAATTAGAACCCTTCAAATACTGAGGTAAATTTACTCTGCCGTAGAAGGCAATTGGCACATTTCTAAGGGTGACCGCTGTGAATAGTAGCTGAAAGATGTCACTGAGCTGTTGTCTGCTACATAACCTTCCCATAGCCAGTAAATTAGAGTTTAGAATAACATACACTTCTCTCTTTAAAATAAGAAATAATTACTGTTCTTCACTGACATGCAAATGCTAGTAACAATTACTGGGCTTAAAGATTGTGTTACTTAAGAAGTACCAGGGATCAACTATGGGTATTATTAGACTTATGCTAATAAATATTCAATAGTTTTGTGAGTGTATGTATATATAAAAATTAGCCATCATGACTGCTTAATGAGGTATTTGAAGCATTTGACTGAATGGTATATATAATGACATCTCTATTCTAGTTTTGGACGGACTATTATGGACGATTAGGCCAACTGCAGTAGTCTCTCATAAAAGGTGATACTGCTTCAGTAGTCCCCTTCAGCACAGTTCCACTCTGATGTAGAAGTGGCATGCAAGCAGCATTGTACAGTAAAGAATTAGCAGGTCAATGTGGTAAGTTAACAAAAGATAAAAATTTGAAAGGACAGGCCAGGAGATCCTTGTACAGTATAGGAGTGTAGAACCTCCACATGCTGTCTCGCCTTCCTCTGATGCTATTGAGGAAATCTCTGCTTCCCTTAAGCTTTGCCTTGTCTCTGTACTGTATCCTGTATAACACTTTGCCATTGTAATGCAAGAAAAATAATGTAATCTACTTACAGGAGTGGGCTGTCTTGAAAGCCTCTCTTCCCATTGTAGATGATGTTTTTCAACTGAAAGACTGTACTTTACATGCATTTTTCAAAGTGCTTTAAATGTTTGTTTTCATAACTTAATTATTTGTACAGAGAGGAGCTTTTTTCGTATTTGCATGATACACCAGACTATTTATATTGCCGAATTAAAAATGCTATTAGTGCAAACCTATCATTTTGAAAATTCAGAATAATTATTCAACTTCAAATATATATATTAAGCATTAAATATTTCTTAACTAGGTCTTCTGAAAGAGTGTAGCTTTTTTCATGTATTTAGAACCATTGAGAAGATAAGTAGTTCCTGTCATAGTTTTTAGCTTAAAAAATTGTAGTTTGTGAACATACCAGTCAAATTGCAAGGATTATGCAATGCAACACAACACTTTCTTTGTCATGCAAAACTTCTTATTTCTTGTAGACCAGGTCTATGTTACAAACTTTTGGTCATGTGTGTGATGAAAGTGTGATTTGTGATCAGCATAACTGTGCCGTCTAGAACCCCTAGTGTAGATGCAGTCATACCAGCAAAACTGTGCCATCTAGAACCCCTAGTGTAGATGCAGTCATACCAGCAAAACTGTGCTTTTACCAGTATAGCTTGTTTCACTCAGGGCAGCTAGGATAAGCTGCATCCACGCTAGAAGCACTTGACCAGGATAATATGCTGGTATATCTGTTGGGTGGAGCCTTCCAAATGTAGACCTGATGCTAGATTGTTGTTTAATTAAAATATTATACCCTTTTAAAATACAGAATCACTTATTCTAAATCTTGACTTTCTGTATCTTTGTAAATATGCTCAATTACTGAAACTCCATTCTCCCTATTCTTTCAGGACTTCTTTGGTGTAAGTATGGTTGTGCCTCTGTTAAGCCTTCATATCAAGTCTCTAGGAGCAAGTCCAACTGTTGCAGGAGTAGTAGGTGAGTACAGCATGGGTACTGATTACCCAGGACATGAGGTAGAAGTCAGATATGTATCATAACTAACCTTCAGTAGCCACACAGTGGAAAACAATGGCAAGCTCTAAGCAAGATAGACATTTTTCTGCAGCTGATTCTTCCTCCTTATAATCATGATTGTCCCACTATTAAGTCATTGTATTTCTTCATAGTTGTCTTCAGAAGCTACTGTATGGTGGGTTCCAATTGATGACCTTTTTGAGTTCTGTAGCTTCCTCTCCTCCACTGAAGTGATTCTGGGGTGCTGGCTTGTAACACAAATACAGGTCTAGTGCACTGTTTATAAATAGTAATGATGATATAAATGTCGTCTTTATATCCAGATTTTTAATATCCTGCCTTTTCAGTTTGCATGGAATAGAGCTCCTTCTGATGCTAATCCCAGTTCTGAGTTTGGTTGACAGAAATGTTTTTTATGCAGTAACTTTAGTGTACAGTATGTTATCACCTCTACGCTCTGCATTGACTTTAAGCGTTCAAAAAGCCAAGGAGCTGGGGTGTCCTTTAATCAGTAAAAGAGACTGACAAATATTGTACTGTTGGCTCCATGCTGGAATTGTTGTTTTCTTTCTGTTCCTTCTCTCCTACTGCCAATTGCTGTTAGGTTCTTACCCTTCATTTTGAAGCGTAGGATTTGCAATTTCTTCCAGGCCTACTGCTACAATGCCCTGTCATGTTTGGTGTAGGATGCCAACTGTCCCAGTTTCAGTTATTTCCCCTGGCAAAGCAGCATACTTCTGCTTCCACACTTCTCAGTTGAATAGTATTGCAATTTTGAGATACCCAGTAAAAGAGGAAAATTCATCCATCAAAGTGGTGAAACTCTTTTTCATGCTATACCCCGCCCCTGCTTTTCCCTATTGCCTCTTCCTGTACTTCTAATGAATTATTTTGTTAATTTTCCCACTTTGCAGAACCATTTTAAAGCCAGTTTCACAAGTCTGTTCATACTTAATTCTCAGTGTCTTTTTTTCCACTATTTTTATTTTAGGATCTTTTTATGGTTTACTGCAGCTCTTTTCCAGCACGTTTGTGGTAAGTTTTGAATACTGAATCTTAGAAACACCAATATATATTTATTAAATTTGTAGGAAAATTGATAACATTAATGGTAATATTTTGGGGAATGTGAAACTGTACATTTGCTAGTGTAACCCACACACCTCCTGTCCCATCTAGTGGCACTGAGACCACTTAGAGAGAGAGAAAGAGATTGAGTCTGCTCTACAGCCTTAGCTAACAGCCAGTTGACTTTTGGCTCATGCACTAAGCTCCAGAGGTCCTGGGTTCGATCCTGCCTGCCAACGACCGAGGTCTGTCAGCGTTACACTAGTGTTTACACAAACCCTTGAGGTTGGATGAACTGTTCTTACTCTCTGTGGAACTTTTTGTTTCAGTTATAGGGACTAATCAAATCCTAGTACACAAGATGAAATTTTTAGCTGAAAACCAAATCTCTGCCTAGATTTGAAAGTAGTAGTTTAAGCATTCAAATATTACTATGCGTCAGTCATGCAACATTCTGTTTAATGTTGTGTTGCTATTAGAGCAATTTTCTTTAACGCAGTAGTCTAAATACAAGAAATAGCATCATGGACCAGATCTCTGAAATTATGTTATCTGTGTTTGCTATTCTGTGATTAATATGGAGTCTCTTGTAATTTGCCAGATAACCTTAATTTATGCAATGTCTCTCAAACTTTATTTTTTCCCCATAGGTTATGCTTTTCCCTCTACTTTCCCAAAACAAATATGCACAAGGACACAACCCCAAGGCCAGGAATGTATACTGTACCTGCCAACATTCAAATCTGTACTTTGGAGCCAGTGCTCCTAGGTTTCATCCACCTGTTTGGCACACAGTCACCTTTTCCTCTGTCTCTTGCAGCTTCCCTGAACTTATGTGTAAGGCTCCTACCCTTCCTACTTAAAGACCCTCTTCTGCCATGCTGCATGTAGTGAATTAAGCTGACTTATTGTATATAGGTTACCTTTTAATTTCCCCCTTCCCATGACCTCTCTCTGTTTGCCCTCAGAGTGATATCTCCCTCAAGCCGGGACTGCCCTCTCTGAGTGTTTGGCAGGCATCTAGCTCACAGTAGTTACTATTGTAAATAGTGGTCAGTGCAGGGCCGGCTCCAGGCACCAGCCTACCAAGCAGGTGCTTAGGGCGGCACCTGGAGGGGGGCGGCGCTCAGGCCCGAGAGCGGGGCCGCGACTGGGCTCGCCGCCCTCCCCGCGGCGCTCCGGCCGCCGGGGAGAGCGGAGCCGCAGCGGGCTCGGCGCCCTCTTGCCGGCGCTCCGGCCGGTCGGGGAGAGCGGGGCCCCGGCCGGGCTCGGCGCCCTCTTGCCGGCGCTCCGACCGGTCGGGGAGAGCGGGGCCCCGGCCGGGCTCGGCGCCCTCCCCTGCCGCGCTCCCTGCCGGAGGGCGGGGGGGACGGCGGGAGGCTTTTTTGCCTGGGGCGGCAAAAAAGCCAGAGCCGGCCCTGGGTCAGTGTTGGTGTGATGGCATTTTCATTAGACTGTCGCCCATGATATTTCACTAAATTGTCACGAGTTTACATAAAATTAAGATGAGACATTAAATTAAATTAAGCTTGGCTTTCATATCTCATCTAGTAAAATTAATTCATGGTGCAAGTAGGTGCTTCTCCCATTGACTTCAGGGTTGAATTTAGTCCGGGGTGTCCAGCCTATGGCATCTAGACGCAATACTATTATGAATGTTATCTAATCTGTTTATGAATGTTTCCACTGATGGTCCCTCAGGGACCTCTCTTTTGAGAAGAGAAGTAATCAATTTAATTCAGACATGCATATTGTTCACAATGGGTAGTTCAGTACTATAAAAGCACTCATTTATTGTCTTACCAGGGCTGCTGGAGTGATGTAATAGGAAGACAATATTCCCTGCTTGCCTGTATCCTCTTCAGTGCACTGGGTTATTTGCTACTTGGCATGTCCACCAGTGTGTGTTTATTTGCCATTGCAAGGGTACCTGTAGGTGAGTAATTGACTTGGTACTTGGATTTATATTCAGTCCAATGTTAGTTTGAGAATTATTGCTGCGGAAGTCATGATATTTAGATATGGGGACAAGCTGGATAGCAGCTTTGAACAGTTTTACTTATCACAGGTGCAATGGTTCTTTGGCACCTATGGAACCCCAGCTTTGAAAAGACCTCTAAGTTGATCTTTTTACTGAATTTTTCATTTACTTTTTTTTTTCCATTGAGAAATGTACCAGTGATTTTTCAGGGCTTGTGGGTTTTGTTTTTTTTTTGGTTTTTTTTGGTTTTTTTTGATGGTGGGGGAGGGGGTGAACAACTTCTGAGACACCTTAGTGCAGGGACTGTTTTTTCAAAGGATGGGTGCTTATCACTTCCTGAAAATCAGGCCACTTTAATGTTTCTCAAGTTGAGCACCCAAAGTCACTAGTAACTTCTAAAAATGTTAGTCTGTGTGCACCACATAATATGATATATATTATCGTCAGTATATTGTTGTCATACTGAACATATATTTCCAAATAGGAGATCATCTAAAAGCTTGGCTCACTACTTAATGGGCTGTGTATGTTGTGTAAAAGCATATTTGTTAGTGCCACTAACACTATGTTTCAATCAACATATCTGTATTATAAAACTCAGATAATAGGTTTTTAAAATTCTGACTGACTAGCCTCATTCCAAAGAAAACTTTTTTGTTTCCTTGATAGAGGAGGCAGTGGTTTTTTTGGTATGATAAAGGAACTTCAGTGGTTTGTTTGATAAATCTTTACAATTTTAACTACCTCTTTAGAGGTTTTTGTAATGCTCCTATATTGCCAATGGTTGTGGACTGTGGTGGTGTAAGGTAATCCTTTTGTGAGGAAGGAGCAGAGAGAGATATTTTATTGTGCACGTGTGGCATTTTTAGAATGCCCCAGAATTCATATTAATTACTGCTTCTCTCGGCCTGTCAATACCTACTGTTTAACAATCTGGGATTGTACTGTACCAATTGCAAGTATCTGTAGCCTGCCATATCATTCTTTCCCCAGCACTGACCACGAGATGCAATGTCTCTGGCAGTTGCCTCACCTCTACTGGGATCCACAATTCAGAGGTGCTGCTTCTATTCTATTTGAGCTGTTTTGCTCACTTGACACAGATCTCTGTTTAACATGATTCCTAGGTCCCAACCCTCAACTAGCCGAGGGAATGGTTGCTGCCAGACTCGTCACATGCCCAGGACACAACCTCTATAGCTCTGGCGTTGGATAATTTGTAGCTTTTGGAATTTTCAAACAATAATTAAACACAACCTTATGAATTACATCACATGCTAAATAAATATGATATCGTTTTCCTGTATGTTTTTATGTTAACTTGCAGGTATTTTCAAACACACACTCTCCATTTCAAAAGCTCTTCTTTCTGACTTGGTTTCTGAGAAAGAGCGCCCTCTTGTAATAGGACATTTCAATGCAGCCTCCAGTGTTGGTTTCATCCTGGGTCCTGTGGTTGGTGGCTACTTTACAGAGCTAGAGAGTGGCTTTTACCTGACATCTTTCATCTGTTCTTTTATCTTCATTCTGAATGCTGGTAAGTTGTATGTAGTATTTTGTGCTTCAGGCTTTTTCAAGCGATACGTGTTCATGCTGTTTGTACAGTAATATGACTGTAATCCCCTTCTGTTCTGTGCATTCAGACTGCTCTTTGAATGTAAACTTCTTCTGACTTTTTGAAAATAGTTCATTTAAGACAGCCCTCCCCCTATTTATTTTTTACATCCAGATACAAGAGATGGAGTGTTGTTTTTGTGTCTAGAGCTGGAGAATGGGAGTTTGAATCCTGGGTTCAGTTCTCAGATCTGCTATGTATATGCTGTATGAGCAAGTCACTTAACCTTTCTCTCTCTCTTATTATAGAGCCCCATTTAAAGTATGGGGAAACCAATAGTAACTACATGGGTTATGTTGTGCTTAATTTTTGTAAACTGTTTTGTGATTATTTTAAGATGAAATGTTGCCAACAAAGTGCAAAATACTTTCATGTCTTTGATTTCTACAATTAGAGACATCATTAAAACATAACAGTAACTTACGTGTTTGAGTATGGGGTAAAGAGCGTAACTGTCTATAATTAACTGATTGTAATGCTTTACCTCTACAGGCCTGGTCTGGATGTTACCATGGAGTGAGGAACACACAGATAGTAGTGAAAACGAACAGACCACCAGTAACAGTAAAGTGACAGCAAAGGCAAACTATGACCTGCAGGTTCAATCACTAGCTAATGGAACAACGAAATATGCTACTCCCCTCCAGTCCCTATGGATTCCAGTTGTGTCAGTGCTGAAGAGGATTAAAAGCATTGCATGCTCTGATCTGTGGGATATATTTTTAGTACGGTTCCTAATGTCTGTAGCTGTAATGCTGTATTATAGCAATTTTGTTCTGGCAATTGAAGAGAGATTTGGGGTGAAACCTAAGCTCACAGGGTACCTCATAAGCTATAGTAGCACCGTTGGAGCACTTGCTGGTTTTCTACTTGGACCAATAACAAGACTCTATCAACATAACTCTTATGCACTTTTATTACATTCCACTGTTCTCACCTGTGTATTGATAATGCTATATTCCACAGCACTCAGCATATGGGCGGTCATTTTATCGTCAACATTTTTAGCGTTTTCAACCACTGTAGGACGCACTTGCATCACTGACCTTGAGTTGACCCTGGGTGGGAATCAGGCCAGTGGCACGCTCATAGGAGTTGGTCAGTCTGTGACATCTGTGGGACGCATAATTGCCCCTCTTCTCTCAGGAATCGCACAGGAGTTCAGTCCCTGTGGCCCTCCAAGTCTTGGTGTGGGGCTGGCACTGGTGGCTATTCTGATAATGCTCATGAACACACCACGATATTGCAGTGGTAGAAATGCTAAATTAAAAAGTGAATAGCAGCTTATTTTGGACAGGCTGGTGCATCGTCAATAAAATGCAAAGTAATTCAAATAACTGGGGATACGTTATACTAAAGAATGGTGAGCACTAAAGAAACCTGTATTGCAGCAACAGGCTGTTTTCTAAAAGAAATGGTACAAGTTCAAGGGGAGGCCAGCCTGACTGAGCCCTCAGATTCATACAGACTTGTCTGCTGCAGGATCATACGTCAAGACAGGAATGCTCAGAGCTGTAGGTCAGAGAGAAATTCTCTTTCAAAGGTGCAGGCATCATTTAAAACCTTTCGTAAATTGAGCGTTGTATTTTCTTTGTGCTAATAAGGTTGAAATCCCTTCAAGAAAAATGATTCTGACTCTGAATATATAAATGGCTGATGAATAATCCAGTTTGCAGCCCCACATTGAAGCAAGATGGTTAGACTGAGAGAGACAGACAAGTGAATTTTTTTATTTAAACAAGTAAAATTTGTTATGTTCACTTATCAGTATGAGAAATGAAGGCTGACCTGGATAAACCATTGGCCTCCTGTGACAATGGTTTGTTGATAAATCAGAGGTTCCATATATAACTTGTGACGCATCCTCTGCCTAGAAGTTTTCCCATGCAGCATAATTAACCATTCCCAACTGGCTGGCTGACATTCTGCTTTCACTCCTCTGTCCCAGCATTTCTGGTAAATAGAGCTATGTATGCTCTAGCACATATGTTTCTTTTATATATAATATAAGAGGTAGTTTAAGAGAAAATGCCATCGTGCAGAGTAAGGATGATTGAAGATGAGACAATGTAAATTACAGTGAAATTTGCACTAGTGGTACCTGGACTATTGAACATCTCCATCTGGCAACCTTCTGTCATAAGTGAGTATTTTAAGGAACTCCCAGAACTTCCTGTGCAATTTTGTTCCATCTTCATTTTAAGAATAATCGCTCCTTCCTGTTCTTTAGATGGTTGTTTAAGACACATTTTGGAAAATCTAGTGATGTTTTAAAGTGTTCGTTCCATGTAGGATTAATCCAGTATTTTTATCTCTGAAGACATACATTTAAATCCCAGTTTAGGTAACCAGGGAAAATGTGTGTGTTTGGCAGCTTAGTCTTTGTTTGCATCCATTTTAGCAGGCCAAAGCTAATGGAGGTTGATGCAGGTAAAGATTGAAATGCATTGACAGACTTATGGGGATGGTTTCCATAGCAGTGACCCATACTATACCAGGTTCAAGTCAGTGTTACTAGTCTGTCACTTTTCTGAGCATTACATTTGATCCACTAGTTTAAAAAAAAGTTTGTTCTTATAGTGCCTTTTATCTGAAAGTTTCATAGCACTTCCCGTTTAATTATTTGATATAGTATACAAAGCCTCTCTGCAGATTTTTTTAAATGGAATTTAGCATGTATGATGTGCACATGCAACTTTAAATGTTACTTTATAGCCGTCACAGATGGTGTTTTGTAATTTTGTTTTTAAATCAACTTTTCCTTCCTTCTTACAGAGTGCCTGTTCTTGTTTGAAATCGGTGGCAAAATCCCATTGATCTCAGTAAAAGCACAATGGGAGCACATACATATATTTTAATTACTTGAAATTGTATAGGCGGACACAGTGAGACTAGTCTATATATGTGCTTGTTTTGGGGAGGTCCCCTTGATTTCTGTATGAGAGTTAAGCTTCATGCAGAAAATGGAATCTTCTCATTTTTAATGTACTGTAGATTTCATCTTATTTTTTTGTGACCTGGGATAAAGTTTTGCTATGTGACTTAGGTGCTTAGGAGCCCAAGTCCTATTGACTTTCAATTGAGACTTAGGCACCTAAGTCACTTTTGAAAATTTTATCCCTGGTGACCATTTAAGCAAGAGCCTCAAAATGTCCCCACTAATTCTCGTGCCCTTTTCCCCTCCACTCAGGAAAGACACATCATTCCCCAGAACAGGGGGGACCTTTATCATAGAATCATAGAAGATTAGGGTTGGAAGAGACCTCAGGAGGTCATCTAGTCCAACCCCTTGCTCAAAGAAGGACCAACTCCAACTAAATCATCCTAGCCAGGGCTTTCTCAAGACGGACCTTAAAAACTTCTAAGGATGGAGATTCCACCACCACCTCCTGAGGTAACCCATTCCAGTGCTTCACCACCCTCCTAGTGAAATAGTTTTTCCTAATATCCAAACTATACCACCCTCACTGCAACTTGAGACCATTGCTCCTTGTTCTGTCATTTGCCACCACTGAGAACAGCCTCTTTGGAAAACCCTTCCAGGTAGTTGAAGGCTACTATCAAATGCCCGCTCACTCTTCCCTTCTGCAGACTAAATAAGCCCAGTTCCCTCAGCCTCTCCTCATAAGTCATGTGTCCCAGCCCCCTAATCATTTTTGTTGCCCTCCACTGGATTCTCTCCAATTTGTCCCCATCCTTTCTGTAGTTGGGGGCCCAAAACTGGATGCAGTACTCCAGATGTGGCCTCACCACTTTCAAATAGAGGGGAATAATCACTTTCCTCGATCTGGCAATGCATCTACTAATGCAGCCCAGTATGCTGTTAGCCTTCTTGGCAACAAGGGCAAACTTTGCTTTGCTGCTGCCACTTGGAATGAAGTGGAAATAAAACATAGTGGACTGGTTTTTGGTATAAAGGATTTAACAACTTTGGTGGTCTTCTTACCCAACAACCAACCGATAGAAAGTCATTCTAACTTGTGACACTGTTAACAAAACTGGGGGGCTTTCTTAGACCAAATGCACCATGAAATTAGCTAACACTAGATTTAACAATTGTCTGCATACCACTCTCAGGGGTGATAGGACTCAACACTTCACTTTTTATGTTTATGCACAAGCTGAAACACTTTGTGCTTTCCATAACCAAATTTTATTTTATTTTTATTTTTTCTTTTAATATATGAACGATTTTTGGTTTGGAAGATGTATTTTTCTTATTGTCTAAATCTGTATTATGGAAAATTAATATTTGGCGTGAGAAACCTGTGAAAGATGTGGTCTCAGGGACTTACTGTAGCTGATGCTACTGGACAACGTGGCTTTTATTTATAGCAAAAAGTGATTCTGAAGTACTTTAGAAAAGATTACTCTCTGTAGTGTTAATTACAAAAAATACACTAAAATTTTCTTTTAAAATGCAATAAAGTGAAATGACATTCCATTTTTATTAATGTTTCAGTAATTGTCTTCTGTTAACTTTATATATTGTTCCTTGTAATGCATTTCAGAAGACAGGTGGCCAAGTCAATGGAGTTGGATGGGATGCACATCCAATGCAGTATATTTAGTTTCCGTGACTGCCTTCTCTCAATTCTTTAGTCTTCCTCTGCCTGATTGACTTACTGAGTCAAGTTGACCTCTTGTTTCCTGATCAGCTAGGCACCCATTCAGGAAACATCTCTATTCAGGACATCATTTAAGCATGTGCTTAACTTGAAACGCGTATGTAAGTCCCGCTGCCTTCTGTATGTCCTTAAAGTTAAACATGTGATTAAGTGATTTCCTGAGTTGGGCCTAAGAGCAGAAGGAATTGGGGGAATGGGGCTGGGAAGTCAGTTCAGTTGCATATGGTAGCTGAAGGGAGTGCAAGAGGGTTCTCCATTCCTTAGGAACTGCTTGTAATACCTTCTTGTTCTCTTATTCCTGTAGTTCCCAGATATGAATGCACTGTCTCCAACCCTGTTGCCAGCTTCCCCTGCCAGTCCAGCTCTCCTCTGTTTTCTGGCTCCAATCTATGCACCTCCCTGACCACACCCCCTTACACAAGAGGATGCTTTTACTAGGGCAGGGATCGGCAACCTTTGGCAGGCAGCCCGTCAGGTGCTTACCCTGGCGGGCCACCTGCCAAAGGTTGCCGATCCCTGTACTAGGGGCTGCTCCTACGCTTTGCTCCCAATTTCCATGCTGTTTCTGGCAGTGCCTGCATCTGCGAGGTTTTGGATTTCCCTCTGCGGAAGGTAGTTGCTGCTAAATGCTATCTTTGGAGATGCCAGCTTTCACTTAATGGCAAATGGGATTTGATCTCTACTTCACCCAGGAAGGCAGGGCCATCAATGGATACAAGAGAAACAAAGACAGAAAGGGGAAAGAGTTGGAATGCAAGTTCTGAGACAGGGTGTCCAGAGCCACCATTTCCAGTGCCTAGGAAAATAAGCTTGGCATCTTGCCATTCTGACTATTCCCATCCCCATGAGTCACACCTCACTGCTTTTCTTCTGCCTTGAGTCTTGGCTTGGGGGGGGGGGGGGAGGTTGGTTTTGCAATTCACCTCTTGAAGTTTCCTAACTGTCACTATAGATCCCACAATACTTTTCACAAGAACAAGTGTGTTCATTTCATCATCCTGGCCAAACTTCAGCTGAATTCTGTCTCCCTAAATTTCTCCCTTCACTTCTGTGTGACAGAAATTCTGTCACTGCAGACTTGTTTTCCTTGAAGGGAATGAAAATCATGTCTATAGTCAATACATCATTTCCACCAGTAGATGGTGCTAGATAATAATAATAATAAGTAATGGAGATATCCCATCTCCTAGAATTGGAAGGGACCTTGAAAGGTCATAGAGTCCAGCCCCCTGCCTTCACTAGCAGGACCAAGTACTGATTTTGCCCCAGATCCCCAAGTGGCCCCATCAAGGATTGAACTCACAACCCTGGGTTTAGCAGGCCAATGCTCAAGCTTCTAATTTCCCAACACCCACAAACTTTCTTTGACATTGGATGACAAAATCCACATTGCAGGCTGTAGCTGAAGGTGCTGATTAGAAAGTCTTAAAGATAATGTTCCAATTTACCTTTTCCCTGTAGAGAAAAAGGTTGTAGGAGACATACTTCAAAATATAATGATTCTGTAAGTGTATGGTGTGCATTTACTTACTGTTTTTCATTCATGTCTCTCAAAATGCGTTTAAAAATAAGCATTATCCTGTTTTATAAATGAAGTAATTGAAGTACAAAGAGGTTAAGACCCAGGTTTCCGAAAATGGCCCCTAATTTTAGGTGCCTCAGTTTTTGGGTGTGCAATTTAAACATTTGGGGCTGCCTTTCAATCACACTGAGTACCCACTACTCCAGCTGAAGTCAGTAAAAGATGCAAGTTCTCAGGAGTTGTGAGAAATCAGAGGCCACTTTTGAAAATTTGACCCTAAGTGACTTGCTCAGTTACAAGTCGCTTGTTTAGTCCTTATCAGCAAAGAAAAGAGAGAGTGAGTAAACCGAACTAACCTTCTACATGCATAATTTTACCATGTTTTTTAAAGTCACAATTCAAACTTAATTCAACCCCTCCCGCAAGTCATAACATAATCTCATTATGGGGGAAATTTGGACCTGGATTCAAGTGTGAAAATTCCAGCACAGGCACATTTCTAGCTCGGATATGGCAAGAGTATATGCTGATAATTCTAATAAATGTAAAAAAAACA